CCTGCGGGGCGGGGGCCGAGGCCAGTGCAGGGGCAGCGAGGGCAGGCGCCATGCCCTGCGCCCACAACGTGGTGCTCCTGCTGGACACGGCCAGCCCGGTGCCGAAGCCGCAGCTGCAGCTGGGCTCTCTGCGGATCCTGAACTACCTGGGCTGCAAGTTTGGCCTGGCCAAGGTCCGCTGGGGCTTCAAGTTCTTCGACTCGCTGGGCTCCCGGGGTCGAGCCTCGCGCGTGGGCGACTTCCGCGAACTGGGGCCCCGCAGCTGGGAGGACTTTGAGGAAGAGCTGGAGGCCAGGTTTGGGATGCAGAGCTGCAAGTCTCACCTGCCCGGCCCCGTGCCCAGAGCCCTCCTCACCCAGAACGTGCTGAAGGAAACGCTGCTGGACTATCAGTGGGATCGCCCGGAGATCACCTCGCCCACCAAGCCCGTCTTGAGAAGCCAGAAGAGCAAGCTGCTTGTGGCTCCGGATGAGCCACTGGAGAGCCACATGCCCTCTGAGGGCTTTGTGAATCTCATCTTTCTCTTTTCTCCGTGTCCCCATTCCCAGAGGGAGCTGCTGCAGTTTGTTTCGGGGAATGAAGTCCGTTCCTGTTGTGAGCTGCCCACTTCTCAGGAGGTGGCAGAGAAACTGTTGCCCCGGAGAGTCCGGGAGATGATTACGGGACAGAAAATCGCTCTGTACTGGGTGGACACTGCTGAACGGTACAAGGTAATGAGAGGATGTGGCACGTCCTGCAGTCATCAGTCATAGAGAACCATCTTCTTCCAGTTCCGTAGCCCAGTGGGGTTCAACCTTCCCATCCCCTTGAAACGAATGAATGGCGCAGGGCTGGTCCGTGGGTGCCATTCAGCCTGCCAGCCCAACCCAGTGCATTGCTGTGATCTGGTGCATGGGGCCAAGTCTGGAAATTTGGTGGCAGGGGAGCAGTAACTGTGTTAATGACTGCACCTGCCAGAGCAGGAGACAGCTCCACAGGCAGGATCCAGCCCACAGACTGTATTATAAGTATCGCTGATCTAGCCCCACTAGCGAGGTCAAGTTGCTCTAACACATAGTTTCTCAGCCTGTGGTATGCATACCCCTGGGGGTACACGAGGCATAGGCAAGGGGTATGCGGGTACCCCAACACTCTCTTTCACCCTCTTTTCCTCTCTCTCTTGCCCTTTTTTCCTCTCAAAACTATGGCAAAAAATTTGGTGTGCTGTGCATTGTGTGATGCTTTAAATTCTCCAGTAATAATTGGCATGCTGCACTTCGCGCAGCACTGGGTTCAGACCTCCTTGCTTTGGCCAACATCACCTCTAGCCCACGTACATACTTGAGTTGTGTACCTCTGGTGTAAAAGGTGGCAACCCTACTCACACCGGATCAGACATCTGTCATATCACAGCCTTATATACACAGCCTTTCTTCCAACATACGACACACATTAGTCCGTAAATATAAAATTCCCTGGAAACTTGAGTGTTGGAGTACTTACTAAAATTGTCGGAAGTTAGGAGGTACTTACTACTTAAAAGGTTGCGAAACCCTGCTTTAGGCTGTAACCTTGTAGAGTGAAATGCATGTGGGATACTTGGAGTTCTCTGCTGAACATCTAGCAGGCTGAGGTCCATGGTGGGTTGGCAGTTACACATTGAGACTTGGGTACAGTGGAAGATGTGAAACCTTGCAGAGAACCGATTTATGGGGTGCCTTATCCATTAACTTAAACTAAGCTGTTTTGCTTAACTAGCATCTGAAAATTTAGGTTTAAACTTTTGGGTGCCTAAATCAGGAACACAAGCCTAAATCTTTGGCCCTGTTTAGTTGTTAAAAACAATGTCTTCCACATGGGTGTTGTGAGATGAGGTAGATAATGCTTGCAAAGTACTTGCATATTGCTTTGGTGTTCAGGATGTAGAAAGTTTATTTGAGAGAGAAAAGAGTAAATGGAACTTCCCTCATAGCACCTTTCTAGACAGTTCTTGTTCCATGTTTTCTAAAAACATAACAAGTATTCTCTTGCCCTGATGTCATTGTCTGGGCAGTAATCACTAACTAGGAATCTTTCCTTTATTTTGTTTCAGTTGCTTGAATCTCCAGATCACGTTGGATACTGGACAATGGCTGAACTGATCCGCCCAGTTGGGGGCACCATTTTTCCATCTGAGACCTTAATTGCGTGTTTGGGTCACCATAGAACAGACATTCCTGGCTTTCCTGGAGAGTGCAGCTCCTCTAAACCACAGTTCATCCCATGGACCTCCTCCATCCTGCCTTTTGACTCAACCTTGAGCTGCCTGCTCTCTAAGCCTTCTGTATTCCAAGCATCATTCCCGCAACAGAAAGGAACATTATTTCTCAGCATGCATGGTAATGAAAGGGATGGCCAGGCCATACACAGCAATAGATTTTGTGTTAGAAAACAGAGCTGTGATGCTTTTTGCTTGTGAACAGTATGAGTACGTTTAAGACCTCTGATAAAAGCAAACTAGAAAGGCAGTACCCTGGCCAAGCTCTTAAGTGGCTGGTGATGTGTGAACCAAAGTACATATTGGCTTGTGTTTCTGTTGAGTCTGATTTTGGGGAATCTACTTACCTGTGTGTGCACAAACCTCTGGAATGTTAGTTCTTTTGTGGTGGTGCCCTCTCTTTAGTGTGCACAAAATCCCCTGACATGCTTTCTCCTGTCAGCTGTTTCTTTGGCCCATGTGGCTGAATGGGAGAACCCCTTTCAGACTGGTTCAGCTCACATCAAAGATGATGTGAATGTTGTCTTTTCCACAGTGTTGGAGCTGAATCAATATCTCCCTCAGTGCTTTCAGTCTTTTTTTTTTTTCAGGATTACTGAAGATCAGTTCTGTAGCACATTTACTATAGATCCACTCCCTGCCTCATCTTGAAGATTTTTCTGCTTTCTCCAGAATGTTCTCTTAGTAGCTGAAAGTTTGGCTTCATCCAGTGCCTTTTTATTTCCCTTCTAACAGGTGTGGAGAAGCAATGGAGCTGTAAGGTGATCTTGGAGCCCTTAGTCATGAACCACCTCCCTTGGGAGTCCGTTCCAGAGCCTGGCAGCCCTAACCATGAAGCAGCGTCTCCTGATGTCCAGCCTGAACCCACTCTCTAATGATTTGTGGCAGTTTTTCCTATAACCCCTGGTGGTGCCTGAGGGAA